ATCATTGCAGAAAATGGAGTGATGAGAGTATGCTCCGGTGCACTAGTGGTAATGAAGGCTAATCGGAAGAATAATAATATGTACCGCTATCGTGGCAGTACAGTTATTGGGACAGCGACAGTGACATCCAGTGACGACAAAGAGGCAGAAGCAACCAAGCTATGGCACATGCGCTTGGGACATGCTGGAGGAAAATCCTTGAAAACTCTATCAGATCAAGGATTGTTAAAAGGAGTAAAGGCTTGCAACTTGGAGTTTTGTGAGCATTGTGTCAAAGGGAAACAGACAAGGGTTAAATTTGGTACAGCGATCCATAATACTAAAGGCATTTTGGATTATGTACACTCTGATGTTTGGGGTCCTTCCAAAACACCTTCATTGGGTGGGAAGCACTATTTTGTAACCTTTGTTGATGATTTTTCTCGAAGAGTGTGGGTGTATACAATGAAAAACAAAGATGAAGTGCTGGGAATTTTTCTCAAATGGAAGACGATGGTGGAGAATCAAACAGGCAGGAGGATCAAGTGTATTCGCACAGACAATGGAGGTGAATACAAAAATGATCATTTCAATAAGGTCTGTGAAAATGATGGCATCGTCCGACACTTCACTGTTAGACATACACCACAACAGAATGGAGTGGCAGAACGTATGAACCGGACCTTGCTGGAGAAGGTACGGTGTATGTTGTCCAATGCTGGCTTGGGCAAAGAATTTTGGGCTGAGGCAATTACATATGCATGCCACCTCATTAATCGTCTACCATCTGCTGCTATTGATGGCAAAACACCATTTGAAAAATGGTACGGAAAACCTGCTGTAGATTATAACTCTTTGCACGTGTTTGGCTCAACTGCATATTATCATGTGACGGAGTCAAAATTGGATCCAAGGGCAAAGAAGGCTATTTTTATGGGAATTACTTCTGGAGTCAAAGGATATCGCTTATGGTGTCCTATGACAAAGAAAGTAATATTCAGCAGAGATGTTACCTTTGATGAATTTGCTATGGTAAATAAGGTAACAGAAGATACCAAACAAAATGAAGGTGCTTCTAAGCAGGTGGAGTTTGAGGGAAAATTTATTTTTCCTACACAAGAAGCAGAGGAGGAAACAAATGAAGATTACCCTCTGGAAGGAGAGCCAGTAGAGGAGATTCCAACTCAGGAATCTCAACAACAACTTGAATCAATAGCAACCAGCAGGCCAAAAAGAACAATAACGAAACCTGTTCGTCTCATAGAGACGGTTGCTTGTGCAACCTCAATTGTAGCTGATGATGTTCCTACTACTTATAAAGACGCTGTCCAAAGTTCAGAAGAAGATAAGTGGAGGATTGCCATGAATGATGAAATACAGTCCCTTCATCAGAATCATACATGGAGATTGGCCAATCTCCCGAAGGGAAAGAAAGCAATTGGGTGCAAATGGGTATTTGCAAAGAAGGAAGGATTTCCTAACCAAGTAGATGTTCGCTACAAAGCAAGATTGGTGGCCAAAGGATATGCTCAAAAGGAGGGAATTGATTACAATGAAGTGTTTTCTCCAGTTGTAAAACATTCCTCCATTAGAATTATGTTGGCTTTGGTAGCACAATTGGATTTGGAACTAGTTCAGATGGATGTAAAAACTGCGTTTTTACATGGAAACTTGGAGGAGGAAATCTACATGACTCAGCCAGAAGGATTCAAAGTTGCTGGAAAAGAAAATATGGTGTGCAAACTTGAAAAATCGTTGTACGGATTGAAACAATCTTCTAGACAATGGTACAAGCGATTTGACGAGTTTATGTTGCGGCAAGGGTACAAGAGAAGCAAATACGATCATTGTGTGTATTTGCACAAGCTTAAAGATGGTTCCTTTGTATATCTTCTCCTATATGTTGATGATATGTTGATAGCTTCCAAGAATTCGGAAGAAATTGATAAGTTGAAGATTCAACTGAAGAAGGAGTTCGAGATGAAGGATTTGGGTGAGGCAAAGAAAATTCTTGGCATGGAGATAATTAGAGATAGACGTTCAAAGAAACTCTGTTTATCTCAAAAGGAATATTTGAAGAGAGTACTTCAACGTTTTGGCATAGATGACAAGACTAAGCCAGTTAGTACTCCACTTGCTTCCCATTTTAAGCTAAGTACTACTATGTCGCCAATGGATGAAGCTGAACGAGAGTATATGTCAAAGGTACCATACGCAAATGTTGTTGGTAGCTTGATGTATGCAATGGTTTGCACAAGGCCTGACATTTCACAAGCTGTTGGAGTTATTAGCAGATATATGCACAATCCAGGGAAGGAGCATTGGCAAGCTGTGAAGTGGATTCTACGGTATATTCATAATACTGTAGATGTCGGGTTAGTTTTTGAGCAGGAAGACAATCAGTCTGTAGTTGGATATTGTGACTCAGATTTTGCGGGTGATATGGACAAACGAAGATCAACTACTGGTTATGTGTTTACTTTTGCAAAGGCACCAGTTAGTTGGAAGTCTACTTTGCAGTCAACAGTTGCTTTGTCTACAACAGAGGCAGAGTACATGGCTATTACAGATGCTGTGAAAGAGGCAATTTGGCTTCAAGGATTGCTAAAGGAGCTTGGTGTTGAACAAAAAGGTATCACAATTTTTTGTGATAGTCAAAGTGCTATTCAATTAGCGAAGAACCAAGTTTATCATGCAAGGACGAAGCACATTGATGTTCGGTATCATTTCGTACGAGAAATCATAGAAGAAGGTGGAGTCACGGTGAAGAAAATTCATACTACAGAGAATCCTGCTGATATGCTGACAAAGGTGGTGACTGCGGTCAAGTTTCAACATTGTTTGGATTTGATCAACATTGTTGAACACTGAAGATTGAAGATGAAGACACAACCAAAATTTGTTATTGAGAGAGAATTGAAAATGTGGAATTTTGCCAAGGTGGAGATTTGTTGAAGTTTGGCAAAATGCCAAAGTCCCACATTGGTTGGGAGTTAAGTTTGGGGGGGATTTTTCCCCTATAAAAGAAGGCCTAATGTTTAGGATTGAAACACACCTCTCATTTGCCTTCTCATCTGTTTAAGGCATTTGTATCTTCTCTCTTTAGTATTATTTCACTTGTATTTTTGGAGTGAAATAAAATATTGGTTGTGTCCGAGGAGTAGGCAAAATTAGCCGAACCTCGTAAATTCTGGTGTTCCCTTTATTGTTGCTTTATTGTCTTATTTATTATTTGGTGGCTGTCATAATTTTTGGTATAGTAGTTGTGACTTATTCACACTATATACATTTGGCTTCCGCAACAAGAAGTTCTCGAGGATTAAAATATCAACCTTTCGTTTATGTTGTACTCTAATTGATCGGCGTAGTTAGAATTATGTTTGTATTAATGTAATAAAGTTCTATGGTTATTGGGGGGAAAATGAAGGTGGCAAATGCAATGATAGGTGAAAATAAAAAATGGAAGTCAAAATTTTCTTTTGGAGGTGGTAAAGATATGGTATCTAGTGAATCAGGAATGATAATAGTGATTTTTTGGGTTGTTGATAATGGAGGCGAGAGAAAGAACAGAGAAAAAAAGGAGAAGATTGAAAAAAAAATGAAATTTAACAATTTTAGTGGTAAAAAGCATTGAGGCGTGTGTACTCCACTGCACAACATAGATGTGGTTGTGACATTTTCCAGGTAAATGTATTCCATTTTAAAATAGTTCAGGGTAATATGACCTCGCAAAGTTTAAATGTATCGTTGGAAATCCCATACTTATGCATTTTCCCTCTATATTTAGTAAAAGTTTACTATATCATGTCCAGTAGTGATATTTGTATCTTTGGACCAGTTCATGCTTCAGTTCTGCAAGAAACTGTGCTGAAAAATGAACTGTATATTTAGCTTGAGAATATATTGAGAAGGAGCTTTTAAACCATTTGCACACCGAGGAAATGTTCTGTTTCTTCGTCTCGGAAAGGACAGCATGCAAATATCTAAATTTTATGAAGTCATAACCTGTAAATTTGTGCAGATATAATTGACTGCAATTATTTTTGGTCTCCATTCTCTAAATCTTCACTATTCTTGTAGATATGTTTTGATATGTTAAGTTTTTTATTTTCTTTATTTTCTCTTATTCCTTCTTCATGTATGAACTTATATCTATCTGTTAATGACATTAGACTTTTCTTTCTGCACGTATTCTCTTTCTGCACTTCGACTTTATTTAAGCAAATCCCAAAATAGCATAACCTAATAATTGTTTTGCCAATGAATGATTTCTCGCAACAGAATTAAGGAACTGAAAACATTTCCAATACCGGCAGCAGCTACCGCTGAAGCAATTGTAGCAGCTCCTGCGCCGATTAATTTTGAACCTTATAATCTTACATAATAATAAAGAAAGTTAGCTCTTTATTTGTTTATCTCGCCCTTCTTTCTTTTCTTCGATTTTAGATGGTAAAAAAGAGAATGGAATTTCCGATCTTGTATCTGCTACTTCCTATTATTACTCCTTCAAATTGTTTCTTTTGTTTGCTTTGGTGTAACTGCGTGAATTCAGGACGTATTGACAAATTCCTAAATAACATCCCTTTTAGAGTAGCTACCTGATGTCATTTCTACGTCAAAATTGTGCAATTTTGGGCTCTAACGTTCCAAGTGACAACAGTAGAACTTAGTGGTCTATGGCGAAGCTAGAGGTTTCGCTAAGGGTATTCCAGATTTTATATATATATGGGTAGAAAGCGACATCAAGATTTAACCTTCATTTCTAACGAAGTTATCTTCGAAGTTCCAGATAAGCATGCTAGTCAATCCTCTTGCATTCAAGGTGTGTTTCAAGATCATGATTTTTGTTACTCTCAAGTCCTCAATTTTCCTTGACGATTTTTTCTTTAAATAAAACTGTAAAACAATCAAATTTCACATCATAGCAAGCGTCTGAGTCTACGAAAATTTTGGCAAAATTTTCCCTGAAACTAAGCATCATTTTTGTACCTGTCTCATCACCCAAGAGTCACAGTCATTCATTTCACACGAAATAAGCAAGATGGTAGACTAGCAAAATATATATATAACTGTGTTATATAAATATATAACACAATTTTTTTTTTGTCTCTTTTTCCCGTAGAGTAAGACAGTCTAATGCATTACAAAATTACAACCATACATAAATACAACAATGAGTATTCAATAACTGTCAAACTGAAACATAACAATAGAGAAAGAAGAACTGGAACCAGCGTTACTCATTGAAGGAAACGTGCAGCTCATCACTAAAGTACCCTGGCTCTAGCTCAAGCCTGCGGCTCAGAATCAACACTTGCATCTGTAGACATAAAAGTAAGGAATGAGTTCACAGACTTAAACAACTGACAACTAAATCATAATGGGATAAGGGTTTCGGAAAACGCCATAATATGCAACTTCCAAGAATAGCCAGTCCAAAGACTGAAATCAGGTAAAAATAACTAAGATTTATAGGATTTGAATGTTTATGCAACTCCCAAGAATAGCCAATCAAGAACCTGTAATCTCAGATCTAGAAGGATCAACAGGAAACAAGATCCTATCGTGCAAAAACCAAGTTCATATAGAACCTTACAAGTCACACAAACAAATCAGCTATCACATTATTCGAAGATAACTGTTCTACTCAAAAGTTACTTGAGAAGACCGGTTGAATAGAATCTGATAAGAAATGAACCTTGGGCCAAGAAAACTAGCTCATGAAGTGAGGATTGTCTTTAATTATATAAAAGACATTACTCAATGTGGAATTCCGACACCCTGGCACTCTAGGTCTGCCAACTGGAGTGTGGATAACATAATATAGGATCCCAACATCGCGTAAACCAAGAACTGGGATGAGTCTCGCTCTTGATACGATGATAAACCAGAAAGCTAGCTCGTGATAGTTGCCCAAAACTATATAAAGAGACTAAGTCACCCATCCACCACTGATGTGGGAATTATGACAGAATATCTAAAAGCTTCAAGAGTAAAATCAACAAATCATGGTGACTAAACCAAATCATGGTGAATATCTCTGTAAAAATAGTATACTTCAATCATCATGTACAATTGAAATTGGGGCAGGTTGGAATGAGGAGGAGCTGAGGAAATTGGGTGCGGCACCTAAACTGCCATGTCGGAGCAGCTTAGGCCTTCGTTCCAAACAAGTTGGAGTCGACTATATGAATTCTCACTTCCCATTTAAGCTCAACTCATGTAGTCACCACACCAAATAAACTAAAAGTGAAAAATAAGTTATTTATATTATACATATATATTTGAATTCAGTGACAAACACTCAAAATTATTATTTGACTTTCCTGTTATACAGGCCTTGAAAGCAATTCTTGATGGAGGAAAGAAGTTGCCTTTTCCTGATGGCATTCTTATCAATGGACGTGGACCTAATGGTGTTTCTTTCACAGTTGAGCAAGGTAAAAAAAATTGAGGAATATTGGTTACTAAAATCTGTGAAAATTCATAGCCTAATGTTATCGCATTTATAAAAAATCTAACATTGAGTTTTTCTTATAACAGGGAAAACTTATAGACTGAGGATATCCAATGTTGGATTACAAAATTCGCTTAACTTCCGTATTGAAGGACACAAGATGAAATCAGTTGAAGTAGAAGGAACACACACATTCCTCACTTGATGTTCATGTTGGCCAAACCTACTCTGTGCTCATTACAGCTGATCAAGAAGCTAAAGATCACTACATTGTCGTTTCATCGCGTTTCACATCTCAGGTCCTCACTACCACCGATGTACTTCATTATAGTAACTCTAACACTGGTGTACTTCATTATAGTATCACACATCGAGAAAAATTCTGAACAGTTAAGAATATTAAAAAAATTCTGTACGATTCGGAGCTGTAAAATCGTTCAGATTTTGACGACTGTAGGAGACTTGATTCTACGAATTTCAGAGGACAAAAAATCATGTATTTTTGCGCACGCACACACACATAAATACATATAGAACGGTAATACTAGCCTAGAATAAAAATTGTATCTCAAATTTACTTACAAGCGAGTGGAGATTAAAGACGAGATTTGTTTTCTTCAGTCCCTGTTTGGGTTCTGAATGATGACCTTGAAATTGCTGTTTCCCATCTCTTCACACTGAATTTCCTCAATTTTTCTGACTGACTGAGAAACAGAGTCTCCACACAAGATCGCCTCAATCTTTTGCAGGGAACAACTATCACCAAAACAAGAAGGAACCTCAATATGCCTGCAATTTTGCAGCACTATTTGCTCAAGACATGAGAAGGCATCATCACTGACATTCCAACGCGTAATGTTCAGATTTCCCAATTTCAAGAACTTGAGTTTTGGGAACTCCTCATCACTGACATTCCACTCTTCTCCCACAAAAGCCTCTGAGAGCAGTTTCAAAACCTCAAGGTTTGGTAATGCTGAAATTGCAGAAATTTCAACCCATGGCAGCCGAAACTTTGATAAGGTCAATTTCTTAAGGTTTGAGGGAAAGTTAAATTCACAAGGCAGAAACATTCTCTTGCCTTGGTAAATTACATTGAGTGATTCAAGTTGACTCAAGAAATCCAAAATTGGAAATCGATGACCACGAGATTCCAAAAATATGCATTTTAGTTTTTGAAGGAAAGGGAAACTTCTCATTATGTTCCCTGTGTCATAAGAAAGAGATGGGGTGGATAAGGTCTGTAAACAATCCAATTGGGACAAGTTGGAATCTGAGAAGGTACAGTTATCTATATGTGCATGCCTCAGCCTCTTCATACGGAAAAATGTATCTGGTAATGCTATCTTACCTTCTCTTCCTTTCACTAGGAAAGTTTCTAAGTTCCAGAGTTTGGAAATGGAAGAGGGAATGACTGCCATGCGACCTTGAAGTGACAAAAATCTCAAATGCACAAGCTTTTCTATCTCCCAAGGAAAGGTATTGCCAATGTTGATGCACCCCAAGTCCAACACTCTAACAAAACGATCGATGCCCTGAAATAGACCTTCTTCAGGAAGAGGACTTGGCCAGGAGCAGTGCCAATCGGGTTCAGAAGAATATATCATTGTGCGGGTAAGGTAAATATGTGGCATATCCAGAAAGAAATCTTCAAACCGCGATGCCACTGGCAAGAACTTTTCGGCTTTAGATTTGTCTCGACAGAAATGATATAGATAATCATGAATGCGACATGATTTCAGCCTGCCTTTTGAACTTCTTCTGGCCTCTGACAAGGCTCCTCCCGATAAGATCATTCAGGTAATCTTGTGCTACCTCCTCTGGTTTCTTCACCTCATCTCTTCGTACAAATCCTTCACTAACCCATAACCATGTTAGTTTTGAAACTGGAATTTCTGTACTCATTGACAATGCTGCAAAATATAGAAAACATTGTCTTAGATAACCAGGCATATTTTTGTAGCTCAATTCTATTATTTCATTGCAGTCTCCTTCATCAATTCTATTAGTTTCTGAACTAAATGCCTCTTCAGTAATGGTTAGCCAATCGCTGTCGTCCTCTAAATTGACAAGAAACCCAGCTACCAAAACAATGGCCAGAGGTAGCCCTCGACAATTTGTGGCAATTTCCTTCCCAACTTCAGCAGGACAGTTCTCATTTGGAATTGGGGGTTTGCGAAATTCTTCTTAAGTAGAGAAGCGAAGGTGATTATACTTCACTTGTAATAGCTCCCAACTCTCTTCCGGAGTCAACAAGCGAACCAAAAGAGGTTCATCAAACAATGGATCCTCATATTTTCGGCCGCTGGTGACAAGAATTCTGCTTCCATTATGATTATCTGGAAAACACCTGTGCAACTCATCAAATATATCAGAATCCCACACTTCATCTAAAACGATGAGGTATCTTCCTC